AGGCATAGACTGCACATTAACTATCGCGGCTGAGCCCTTAGAGTCTCCAATCAAGACAGGGCCAGTCTCATTAGACAGAGAAGGAGGGGCTGTCTCTGCCAGCCAGAGAGGTTTAGTGGGGTCTGGTCATTCACATCTTCAGACATATTCCAAAGCTCCCTGGCCCATTCTGAGGATTTCTCCTTAATGCCTTGGCTTTCACATAAGCCCTGTGGTGATTTGACCGTATGATGTAGTGATTTGACCATATGATGTAATTCAACAACCTGCAGTATCAGGCCCGAGCTACCTCAGTTCTGTGGCTTCAGGAGTTAAGGGTTTCAATTAGAAGTCTTAGAAACAGCCTGGTCCTCTAGAGCTAGAATTTAAAACTTGAAACTTCCCATTTTCTCTCTTTAAGCTCAGCAGTGCAGCCAAAGTGGCCAGACCACCCCAGAGCCCTTGATTTCCTTTTTCCCAGAATGATGGTCTATCATGACTGCTGTGGAGTCTACCAAAGCCTTACCTTCCATATGCCAGTCATCCCAGGGAGCCCCAGGTGGTAAATTAAGTTACTGATTTTGCCATTACACGTAGCAACTGGGTTCTCACTGCCTTCAAACCCAGTCAAGTCAGATAACTGTTCCAAGATCTTCTCCTCGAAGGTCCTTTCTTGATTTTAGTTGCAGGAAATATAAACCACTCTAGCTGATGGGGATTCAGGAAGCTGATGACCCCGTAGTCGTACTCCTGCAGCTGTGATCCCAGACTTGAAAGCCACTACTGCCCCTCCCGGTACAGCTGCCTCTCAATACCCACAAAGTGAATGACGGCCCTGGCCCCTGCTCCAGAACAACCAGCAGCCCCACCACCCAGGCTTGCCAGCAGAAATAATCAAAGCAGCAAGAAAGGGTCTCTGCTCACTTCCACCTTCCAAATATCATTTAACTGCATCTAATTAGTGGAACATGAGTCACAGCCTAGCTGCAAGGATGTCTGGAAATATATTTTTTAGCTTTCTGGCCTCTGAAGCAGAAAGGCATGAATTTGGGATGGAGCTGAGTGCCAGTCCATCCCATCTGCTGCCTTTGGACTTGGCAGCCAGACTTCCTGGGTTTGAATTCTGGTTTTGCCATTTATTTAGCTGTGTGACCTTCAGAAAGTTAGTTCACCTCTCTAAGCCTTGGTTCCTTCATCTGTAAAATAAGAATTACAATACTTCCCATCTCATAGGGTGGTTGTTCAGATTAAGTGAATTAATATGTGTAAAGTGCTTAGCACAGTGCCTGACACATAGGAAATACTCAGTAAATGTTGGTTATTATTAATATTTTTGTCAGTGTTGTTGTAATCCATGTAGGATGACACAAAGATGAATAAAATGGAATCTGCCTTCAAGGAATTTACAACCTCAGGGAGGAATGATGTATAAATAGCTAAGTATGCTACATAGCAAAAGGAAACATAAGCAGTTAGAAAATACCATTCTGAAGCTCCAGAGAGACCAGGGCTAGAGATAAACATTACACTATCAGCTCAGAGGTGACAGTAGAGTTAAGGAATAAATAAGATTGCCCAGGGAGAGGAAAGGTGAGGATGGCCTGAGAGGCTGTGTTAGAGGCCCAGTCAAGGACGCAGAGCAGGCTAAGTGGTAGGGCCGGGGGAGCACTGCTGTGTGGGTGCCACGAGCTGAAGGCTTCAGGGTCAAGGGTCACAGGTTGAAAAGATGAGCAGACAGAGGAGGCTGTTGGACTCTGGCTGGCAGCCTCTAAGGGGCTTCAGTGGCAGGGTGCAGGAGGGAAGGGGAAAGAGCTTTGGGGTGAGGTAGGCCAACAGTCCACCCTTTTCCAATCCCCTGTGGGCAGCAAAGGGACTTAATTTCCCCCTTGAGAACTTGGGGACTAGGATGGGCCTTCCCTCGGGCAGTCGTTTTCTCACCTGGGGGAGCAGCAGGACTGCCCAGAGGCTCTAACTCTGCCAGCAGCATGCTGTTTAAAACAGGCCCATCCGTGACCTGCATTAGGGGGAAAGGCCATGGTGCTGACCCTAGGTACAGCTTGGGGGTCTGATTCTCAACCTTCCCTGCTTATTGGAATCACCTAGGGAGCTCTTTTAACATTTTCCCAGAGGTATGGGCACCTCTGAACAATTAAATCAGAATCTCTGGCAATGGGCCCTAGACCTTGGCGTAGTTTATGAAACTCCCTGGTGATTAGAGGAGATCCAAATTGCAGCCATGGGGAATAACCCCTGGGTTCAGTCTTAACACATGGAGGAAAGAGTTAGGGATTGGGGATTGGGAGATGGGGTTTTCTGCTTTAAGCTTCTAGCTCTGTGGCCTTGGACAAGTCACATGATCTCTGTGAACCTCAGTGCCTATCTCTCTGAGCCAGAGCCAGTAATACCCACTGCCCTGCATAGCTCACAGAATTGTAGCGAGGATCAAGTATATAAGCACCCTGGGAACTGTGAGGCATTGTCTGGTGGGAGGCATAGCAGATCCTCTATCAGCTTGACTCAGCTGCAGCAGCATGGCGCAGGCTCTGCCGGGGACTTTCTGCTTCACCTCTGCAGTCCGCATCCCATAGCGTTTGGGGGGCCAAGTCTATTCCTGGCCTATCCGCTTGCCATCTCACATTTGGCCAGACGAAAGCTAAATGCCTTTTGACTAACTTTCAGGGATGGTCAGCCAGGCTGGTGCAACCTTGTGGGGACTCATCAGACCTCTGGGCTGCCCGCATGGTCTGAGAGAGCACATTCAATGTTATACATACACATTTGGAAAACGGCAGGGTGGACGGAGCAAGAAAATTACTCCGAGTGCATTCATGAAGTGAATCTCAGAAAGTAAAGCTCACCATCTTGTCTCAGATTCATCTCCTGTGGACTCCTATAAAGATGGTGGGGGCTGTTAAGTAGCAGTTGGAGAGATGGGGAAGGAAAAAGGGGCACACGTGATTGTCATGTTTATCCAGGAAGGTAGGTTTGAGGAGGGTGAGGAACACTGCACTAGGGTGCCTTGCTTTCATGGAGGATGTTTTCCTCCACGCAGTAGAACCCCAGAACCTGGAGGCAGCACGGGTCCCTGGCACAGAAGCTGCCAGGTAACCTCTTTGTAACTCACACTCAGACCCACTCAGGAAGAGTGGCCCTTGCTCTGATAACTTCCCCTCTCTGGACCCATCTTCCCTCAGGGCCTACAGTGACAAAGACTTCCACGCTGTCCCCCCACAGGCTTCCAGGAACAAAGGGCCTTGAACAGTGCAGTCCTCAGTCTTTTTCCATCGAGAACTGCCAATATTTTTAGAGATGGCAGAGTAAACACACTGCATTCCTTAGTAAAAATTCAGTTTTCCATTTTCGTTGAAGATTCATTATTGTCTTCATTATTCATAATCAAATTCATTATCATTATCGGATCATTACACATCCAACCTTTTCATTTTCCTGACATCCCCTGACCACTCGTCCTTGCCTGCTCTGTCCAGGCTTGTAACATTTATCATCTGCTAGCATGCTATACTGTATTTATTGTTTATTATATATCTTTCATCACCAGAATATGAACTCCATGAGGATAGGGATTTTGGGTGTTCTGTTCATTGATATATCCCTGGTACCTAGAGTATATGGTAAATAGTAGGTGCTCTGTAAGTATTTCTTGAAAGTATGACTAAAAATGTACATACTTTTAACCATTAGGCTGTGAGCTCCACAGGGTAGGTGCAATACCCATACATTTTGTTTACCACATATATCCTCAATGACTAACACAGGGTCTGAAACTAAACAGGTACATCATAAGTATTTGTTAAAATGGTAGCCCAGTATACCATTTCCAGGAATTTATCCTACAGATGTTCACATAGCACATATTAATTACAGGTATTAATTATTATTTAACATTAATTGCAGCATTTATGCAAAAAAAACAAAACAAAAAAACCCCCAAACAACTATTAAAGGCCAAGGCCTGGGTTAAGAATATTCCTACTCCACATACCGGCACGCTAGACAGCTATTAAAGAGAATGAGGTATATGATGTATAAATCAAATATAATAGCTTCTTCCCCACCAAACTATTTTTGTTGCTGAGACCTGAGAGAGGATGCTATTCTGAGGTTCCTTCTAAAAAAATTATCCCCAAATCATTCCTATACCCATGCAGTAAGTTTTATGTAAGATGACATCCTTGGTATGATGTCCCTCAAACTAGATGGATGACAAATTACTGAGGCAAGGATCAAGAAAGTCCTGGACAGTAGTTCTCAGATTGGTCTGTTGGCCGTGATTGGATACTATACAGATCAAGGTTCTGATTTTTAGAAATAACTTGGAGTACAGTAATTGCAGATTAAGAGCAGATTTATGTGATACGAACATTCAACTGGACAATGGATAGGCAAAGAGTCATAGCTGTCACCAAAATGGGAGAGGTGACAGAATGCATAATCACTGCAATTCTGTGCTTTCTCTCTCTGGTATTGGACTAACAATTTCCTCTTAGTAAATAGCTATGCATATGTATTCCAGCTGAAGGAAGAAGAAATTCCAAATTCACTCATCTGGGTAAAAAGAAAAGAAAAAAAGGCAACACATACTGATTCAGAAAGGTGTTCAAGATTGTGAAATGTGGAAGATAGAGTTTAAGAAATCAAAGTGCAGAACAGTGTGATCCTACATATACAAAATAAATGTGTCTGTATATGTCTAGTTTAGGAACCATTTTACATGGTTACCTCTGGAGAGTGGGATGGGAAATACTTCATTTTATTTCCTTCTTTTATTTTGGATTTTTTGCATGTTTCTTTTATAATTTTTAAAAATTTGAAATATACATTATCATCTACCATTCCCTCCTCTTTCCCTGAGCTTTTTCCAAGAACCCAGACTCTTCCTCTGCCCACTCCCCCACTGTTATGAAACCTCTGGGATCAGAGGTGATTTCTGCCTGATCAGAGGTAGGACTATTGGGTCAGGCATTTGCACGCACCATGGAAACAGTAAGGAAGATGCAAAGTGATGTTCAATGACCTCTGAACTTTTTATTGGCTTCCTGCTGCTCCCCAAAGGGTGCCCTGCTTCTGCTGCCTCAGCGCCTGAGACCTTTGGTGTCGTTGGTCTCAGACACTACTTTGCCATCCACAATCCTGCGGGTGGTGGTCTTTTGAAGGGTCTGCATGGAGTTGCTGGCGTCCAGGGCATCATCAAGACTGTAACAGAAGTCCAAGCCCCAGTTATAAACAGCGGTGGGTAGGAGGGAGACCAGGAAGGTGGAGGAGAGCCTTCTGATTCCAGCCTTAGTCTCCAAATTCCCCATGGCTTCTTTCTCCATAAAAGGGGAACCCAAGGCCAAACTCCATTTGTATGCTAAATAGGGCTGGGCAACACTTTATTCTTTTTGCTAGGAGAGAAACCTCTAACTATACACCCCTGGAGATACAGGGGCGCACACTTACTTGAAGCCCTCCCCATCTTCTAGCAGGCGACGGTAGGTGGCGATCTCAGCCTCCAGCTTGACCTTGATATTCAGCAGGGCCTCGTACTCCTGGGCCTGGCGCTGCCCCTCTGCCCGGGTCTGGGCCAGCTCCGATTCCAGATGCAGCAGGACCCCGTTGAGTTGCTCCATCTGCAGGGCATAGTGGGCTTCTACCTCCATTAGGCTGTTCTCAAAGCTGGCTTTCTGCAGGGGCATGGAAGACAGTCCGGTGAGTCTCGAGATTTGGTAAAGGGAGAGTCTCTGCAACTTTCAGCAGAACATTCCAGAACCCAGGGCTGCTTAACTCTTCAAAACATTTTTGAGTGCCCACTGTGTGCCAGATACTATCGTAGTGGGTAGGAGTAGTGGGAAATGCAAAGAGTAACAACTGTCTAAGTGAAATGAATTTGGGATATGAGATGTAGGATTTGGGCTGAGTCAGGATTGGGCTTGAGGCCTCCAGAGGTCAGGGGCCAAGAGTAGTTGGGGCAGGTGAAGTAGGATCTCACCATATTTCTCATTGAGTCCAGGTTGATCTCCAAGGACTGGGCCGTCCGTCTCAGCTCCTTGAGTGTTGTCTCAGCCTCTCCTATCTCAGCCGTCTGCGAGGTGACCATTGTGGTGCTCTCCTCAATCTGCAGAGGGTGGTATGGTCCTCAGGTCTGTCCTTCTCTGCCTGCCTCCCTCCCACACCCTCAGGCCCCATGCCTAGCCTGGGGGCATCCATTCCTTCCCCTCGTGTACCTGCTGAGACCAGTACTTGTCCAGCTCCTCTCGGTTCTTCTGAGCCAGCTGGTCATACTGGGCCCGGATGTCTGCCATGATCTTGCCGAGATCCTGAGATTTGGCGGCATCCAGCTCCACGGTCAGCCCAGAGTTGGCAATCTGGTTTTGGAGACCCTTTACTTCCTGAAGGAGAGAGGAACAAAAGTGAGGAGGGGCTCAGGGGCAGAGCTCCAGTAAGGCTCTTCATCTGTGACTGCCTCTCCCAGGAGGCGGACTGGATCGCTTGGAGAAGGGAACAGTTCTGGGTAGGCCAATCCACATGGATAAAATGCCACCTACTCAGGCCCATGCTTCTCACCCATAGGTGTTTTCTCTGTCCTCACTTCACCCTGTCCCTCCATCCACAGAACTCCCCAAGCCTTCCTCCAGGAAGCCCTGCTTGCTCTACTTGCTCTCCTCTGTCACCCTCACTCCTAGGGCTAGCTGCTTCTGCCTTTGTTCTCATTCTCTCAACCATGTCCTCTCAGCCTCATCACATTCTAATTCAGGTGATCCACCGAGTAGGGCAACAGTCTGATTAAGAAGACCTGGGTTGGTAGCTCTAAACTTCTCTGCCAGGCTACCGGCAGATGGCCTGCCCCACCTATTCCCATCTATTCCCTAGCCCAGACTTATCTTGGCCCCCAACCCAGACTTGTCCTGGCTGCTTGCCTCCTCGTGATTCTTCTTCATGAAGATCAACTCCTCCTTCAGAGCCTCGATCTCCGTCTCCAGCTGCAGCCGTGTGATATTGGTGTCATCAATGACTTTGCGGAGCCCATGGATGTCACTCTCCACAGACTGGCGCATGGCCAGCTCTGTCTCATACCTGTGGAAGTGGAGGTGAGCAGAAGGGCGCCATCTCTAATCCAGAACCTTCTTAACTCTAAGAGCAGCCCTGTGCCCACTGCAAATCAGCAATGTGAGTCAGGATCAGGTGGTGTTCCTCTGAGCACTGTTCTTGGCTCTTGGGGGACAGTGTTCTTAAGTTGGTTACATGAATGAATAAACTGATGGGGCTTAATTGTCACCCACCCAGCTCCACCTGCAGATGAACAGGATCCCACTGCAAGCCCCCACCGGACCCAGCCCTGGGGAGCAGACCATTCTTAGCTCCACCCCCAACCCCCCAGATTCCCCAGCCTTACTTGACTCTGAAGTCATCAGCAGCAAGACGGGCATTGTCAATCTGCAGAACAATTTGGGCGTTGTCCACAGAATTTGCAAAGATCTGGTGGGATTGTAGAGAGGTTGCTCTTGAGTGGGAAGTTGTGATGGGGTAGGCTGAGTGTGTGGAAGGTGTTGTGTGTCTCAGTGAAACCCTTCTGGTCCCAGGAATAGCCAGAGGCTCTCCTTGTACACCTATCCCCTTCCACCTGTGCCCCCACATTGTTCCCTCCTCTCTCAGAATCTCAGTTCCTGGCACTCCTACTGCCCCTCCTCCCGGGCCTCTGCTGGCTGGCCTGCCGGGAAGTGAGCAACTACTGATAAGTCCTCTCCCTGGCCCCCTCCTGGCATTTTTCGCTAGTGCACCTGCTCACTGCCCTCACTGGACCCCCGCCCCACAAGACTTGCCCCTCCCATAGGGAGGCCTCCAGTTTACTCCCACATGACTCAGCCTTAGCCACATCCGTTTAACCCTCCAACTGCCCACTCAGCCAGAAGCCACAGTGTCTGGGTCCTCTTTCTGGGCCTCATCTCACCTCCCTCCATGCTGTCCACTTCCTCTGCAAAGCTCCCCACTCCCCTTCCCACTATCTCCAGGGAAAGGGCCCTCCCATGCCCAGTCAGTACCCTTAGGGTCCCTGTGGCCAGAGGTGTGCATGGCAATCCAGGGCATTCCTAATCCCTTGCCAGGGCAGCAGGGCATGGGATGGAAACAGAAAGGGGAAAGGGATCAATGAACCCCACCGTATTAAAATTCCTATCACCGGGGTAAGGGGATGGGTCATTGGAGGGTCAAACATGGCTGGGAGTTGGGACTGCTCCTTCATGCCCTCTTACCTGAGCCCTCAGCTCCTCAATGGTCTTGAAGTAATGCCCCCAGTCTCTGACCTGGGGCCCCTTCTTCTCCAGGTGTTGCCGGATTTTAAGCTCCAGTTTCTGATTGTCAGCCTCCAGGTTCCTCACTCTCTCCAGGTAGGAGGCCAGGCGGTCATTCAGGGCTTGCATGGTCTCCTTCTCGCCCTGGACGCTCCCTATGCCCGCCAGACCCCTGGCCATCCCGACGGCTGGTCCGCGGAAGCTGGTGGGGCGGGACACAGAGATCCGGGAGCCTGAGCCCCCAGCGCCTGCATAGACGCTGGCTGCGCTGCTGACTGGCCTGACCCGATGGCTAGGTGACTGCACCGAGCCTAGGGACCGGTAGTTGGTGGTGAAGGTGGAGTGGGTGGTGAAGCTCATGCTGTTCCGGAGGAAGGCGAGAGGCTAGGGCTCAGGTTCAAGCCGTGGAGAGTGGCAGGTCGGACTCAGGTTATATCGCCTAGGGAGGAGGTTGGGACCTGCGGGCAGGGCCCCGTCCCGCCCCCGCTGTCGCCGCGGAATCCTGGCCCGGAATCCTGGGCCGCAGGTGGACGGCGGCGGACTTTGCGCCCTCGGTTCTGGCCTGCTCAGCCTTCCCCGCCCCTTCGGCACAGCCCTGCCAAGGCCTCCCTGGACACCCCCAGAAAGGGGGTAGCTCCGAGGACAGACAGGGCAGCAGGTGCTGTTGGCCCTTGGCCCAAGGGCAGGTAATGACGTATTACACTCCCTTCTGCCAGGTAGAGGAGGTGCTGGCAGGTGCTGAGAATTTGGCGACTTGTGGGGAATGAGTGGAGTCTTCATAGTCTGCAGCCCAAGTTCCCACCTGCAGAGGGATCTTGGGGGTATCCTGGAACTCCAGAAGTCCTGCGAAAGAAAAGTTGGGGGCTGGAAAAGAGAAAGAGAAACTCAATCCTGAGCCTCAAACCTGCTTGTTTACACCCTTGGCTCTACATCACACTTGGTTCCCAAACACACACCCACCTGCACATGTTCACTAACACACACTCACACTCATGTGGTACAGGTGTGTACTTTCAAATACACGCAAATACATTCACTCCCCAAATATGTTCAGACTCCTGAAAACAAACTGATTCTCTGAACATCTCCCCTCAACTCACCCTTCAGGGTGCCTGGTCTCAAGTGGAACATGTCATGATTCAAACAAGGGATACATTATCACTTCTACAAACCTGTGTATCAGCCTTACCTACACCCTTGGGCAAACAAATACTTCCCAGCAGTTTAGAGTTCAACAGATATTTGATGGACACCTACTGTGTGTCAGGTCCTGTTCTAGTGGCTGGGAGAACAGCAGTGAATGACAGAGACCAAAATCCCTCTTGGAGATGGTAATGTGTCCCACATCGCATGGGCCCTGAAAGGACAGACACGCACACCTAGAAATATCCCAGCTGAGACTCAGCCCTGGTGGCCAGCGCTTATCCTCCTTACCAGGGCTTTTCTGCAGGCTCCCTGCTTCCCTGCCTATCTTCAAAAGGCTCTCTGGATCCCAAGCCTGTCCCCAGGGGCTGCCTCCTCCAGAAAGCTTACATCAGGATATGGGTGAGAAGGATAAAAGTAGGGAGGTTCCCACTGCTCCCAGCACCCCTGAAGCTGGGTGCTCCCACCCCCACCCCATTGCTGAATGAACTGAGGGAACCCTGAGGTACTGGGCCTCAAGTCTGTCACCACCGTCAGCTTGTTTGTCCAGTAGGGCCTGACATCACACACTTGTTTGTACTCTTTGCTCTGGAGTGGACCTATTGATTCTTATCGAGCTACCAGCTGAACTACACAAGGGGGGCAGACAAGAGAGCAGGTCTGGGAGGGGAAAGGGTCCTGGGAGTAGCCGGGCCATGGGGCTAGCCAAGTGGGAGGCGCAGCTCAGATAAAGGCTTGGCTCTGACTATCCCAAGCCTGCCACCCACAGTACTCAGTGGGAGCTGGCATGGAGAGGGTCTGGGCTTGCTGAAGGCCAAAAGGCAAATGGGATGCAAAACAGCACATGAAAGAATGCCCCCTCATTTTGCACGGAGGTTTCTGGGAGATTAGAGGTGGCGGCAGCCAAAGGGGTTTCTCTTGCTCTCACCTTCACATCCCTCACTGGGTTCCAGAATCGTGTTGTGCAGAGTTGCACAGTAAGGTATGCAGACTGAACATGCAACATTTTGCCTTTGCTGATTTTGCTAAGCTTGAAGGCAGCCAATATGGGTACTTCGCTAGCTGCGTGAACTTGTAGAAACACTTAACTCTGAACTATAGTTTCTTTACTTGTAAAGGGAGAGTAATAAATGCTGTCCAGTCTATCTCCTCGGGTGGCAGTGGATGTCAATGGTAATTATCGCTTATTTTCATCGAACAAACACTTAATAATGAAGAATAAGTCTTCAACACATTCAGGAGGGAAGAAGTAGGGGGAGGGGTGTCAATTTAATTGTAAGGATGGGTCAATGAAATAGGTCTCTAAGTCACTTAAGAACCCCGGGGACTTTGAATTCCATCAGGGAACAGGTTCAGATTCCAGGATTCTTATTCAAGCTCCTCAGATTCCTGCCTCACCCCAACTGCTCAGGCCCTTCTGGGGCCTGTGGAGGCTCAGGCTGGGGGCAGGAGGGGGAGAGCTGCCAGCTGGGTCTTATCTCCCATAGCTGATGTCGGTGGCCACATTCCTGACCTCTTGCAGCATGGGGGCAAATACCAACCTCAGGCTTCCAGCGCCAGCCTGCCCTTTTCCACCACTTCCAGATTCCTCTGTGGTTCAGGGCCTTTTCACCCTCTGAGAGAGCTGAGGAAGTGCACAAGGAGTTTTGGCCCCCAGCTTCCCAGCATCAGGGTTCTGGGGTGGGGTGGGAGGCGAGGTGCAAAAGGTGCAAGTCAGATGCCCAATGGGGATTGTGAGGCCAGTCCTGGGAGAAGGGGGAGCAGGAGGCGCCCTGGTCAGAGGCTTCCAGAAAAAAAAGACCTAAGGAGAGTAAAGGGGCGGAAGGAGGAGAACCGGATCCCTGCCCCCATCCTGCCCTGCATTCCGGTGTCCTGCTGAGGGGGAGCGGGAACCTGAGAGGCAGGTTTAACTCTTGAATCAACTCAGAGATGACTCCGATAAGGGTGGTTCAGGTCTTGCCTCCCCCTCCTCACAGTCTCCTGCCAAGGGCTGGAACCACTGCCCTGGGGAAACTAGATGGTGGGAGATTAGGGGATTAAGGAGGCTCGGGAGGGCCTGTGGTCCTTCAGGCTTTGCTTTATCATTTCGGCTGGAAATTTCTTGTTCAACCCTGAGGAGGGAGGTGTATAGAATAGCAATTGAGGTGTGAGAGTGGGGGCCTGTAGCCCAAACAGGGAGGGGGCTGATTCCCCACATCTTCCCGAAAGATTGAGAGTCATTCCAGAAAGGATTTCCCAAAGGTGTAAATGTGTGTTGGAGAAAGCAAGAGGTCTCTATGGTGGGGAGGGCTGGGGGCTGCAAGGTGGGTGAGGGGATGGCCTGGGATGTCCCCTCAGCTCCCCTCAGTGGAGGGCCCAGGGCTACTGAGTGAGGGATACAGGACCTGAGATACAGAAAGTGAGAGAGGATTCCCAGAGTGGGAATCTCTCATGCCCAGCCCTGCCTCTGGCATGTAGGGAGAGCTCTGCAAATTATTTTGATTTAAACAATTAATGAAAAGGGCATGCTAGGAGAGTCTAGGGGACCAACAAGCGTGGTTAATTAGGTACGTTGTGCAGCGGGTGGGATGATGGGGTTGCAGCTGGGTTGGGGGCAGGAGTCTGAATCTCCCAGACTGGCAATTTCTCTGGAGGTACCTCTGCCCCATTTGGAGGCCCTGGTGCTCCCTGTTATGTGTGGAGTCAGGGAGGGGTTCTGAAGGCCAGGCCCTTTCCTCCAGAGCTGGGAGAGTCAAAGGATGTTCTGACACTTTTATATCATTGTTTCAGCTGGGTTTGTACCCAAAGCGGTTATTCCCCAGGGATAAAGAAAAGAAAGATCAGTGTTACGGAGTTCGCAGCTGCCCAGGAATCTCCAGTGTTGGAGCTCAAAGGGGGATTTTAGGGAATCTGGCCCTTCTACCAGCCCCCTCGGCTCCCTGGGACCCCTGCAGCCTTGTCTAGCAAAGCCAGCTCTCACCCACCAGCAATGGCCTCTCCTACTCTTACCACCTTGTCCCTTTCTGACCCTGGTACTCCTGGTCTCTCCTCACGCACAACCCCAGGTCTCAATGCCACTCCCCCCCACTGTCTAGGTCCTCTTTCCTATCTGCTGAGAGGCGGGTGGGACGCAGGATGAGAATGGCACTGGTGTCAAAAGACCTGGGTTCAAGGTCCCACTGTTGGCTGGGTGATCTTGGGCAAATTCATGCATCTTGGTCTCTTTGGCTGTAAAATAAGGATAATAGTTATACCTACTTGGAGGGTTTTCATGAGGAATGAGACAATCTGCCTGGATGAGCTTTGACAACTGAGAAGCCAGTCCATCTCTGATCCTGTCTGATTTGCCTCTGTCTTTTCATCCCAGCCCCTCTGTTTTACCCTCACTACCCTCTAACCTTGTGGACTCTGCTTGTCACCATTTCTTTCCTTTCAGCTTAGACACAGGGCAGGGGCAGCTAAGACTGAGTATGGAAGTGGGGGTGAAAAGTAAAGTGGCTGAGAACCTCTCTCAAACTCATCCTGTCCATTGCCAAGTCTCTATCTGTCTGTCTCCCTTTGGCTTCGGACTTTGCAGGTCTGCCAGCAGTGTCTGTGGCCTGTGAGCCACCAGGAAAGCAAGGCTGCGGCCGGGGAGGGGTCTGGGGCGAGGGAGGCAGCTGCCAGGCCAAGGCTTTGCACAGTCCGGAGAAAGGCAACCCCCTCCTTGCCGCTTGGCCTGACGCCCTTGGGCACTGACCAGCCTCCACAACCAGGTATGGCGGCCCTGTCTGGAGCCACCCACTAGAGGATTCAGGGGAAACCCTAGCATGGATGAGACAGCCTAAGGAAAAGGATCACATCGAAGGGGTGGGTGAAGTCTGCACGGAGGACCTAAGGCAAGAAGGGAAGGAAGAGACAGGGAAGAGAGGGGAGTAACAGGAGGGGGCCCAGGCTTCTGCTGGCCCTGGAGAGAGAGGTGTCCTTAAAGCCGAGGAGAAAGAGTGAGTTTCAAGGAGATGCAATCCACAGAGTAGATACACAGGGAGAGCAAGGAGGCTGCGGACAAGAAGAGCACTTGCAGTGAAGTGATGGAGACTGAAGCCTGGTCAGGGAGGCTGAGGAGTGAGTTGTTACTGGCAAAGCGGAGGCATAGCATAGACTTTTCTTCCAAGATGTTTGTTAGGGAAGGAAAGGAGAAAATGGGATGATATCCTGTGTAGGGAGCAAGGTTGATAGAAGATTTCCTCAGGTGGTACAGTTTAGCAAGGCTAGTAAAACAGTGAAACACACCACAATGAGGTGTGGTTGGTGCTATGCCAGGGCCAGTCCCTGGAACAATGGAGGCCCGTAGCAGCCCCACTAACCAAGCCTGAGGTCCTGGGGGAAATGACATT